TTTCTATGAAGCCACAATTAGCTATAGGGAGGATTTGGATCTTCCTGATTTAGTGTAATAAGGTTTACTTGTTAAATGAATTAATTATCTCTTAAACGATGCAAGGGCATTCGATTGTAAACAAACAAATTGTATATAACAGTAATGATTTTCATTCAAGTAAACACAGAAACAAGTTTTATTAGTTAATATTAATAGAAAATTTTTTTTACACACATTAAACATTATTTCTTTATTTGTGATGTGTGATCCCTAATACTAATGAATTCACACCTGATCGAAAATGAAAACGAAAAACAGTCACACAGCAATAACAGTATCCTTTAACTTTTTAATAAATGTTTGTGTATATTTTTGTCACAGTGCTAATTATTTGGTTTATAAATTTTGTCCTCAGAAGCGTTTCAATAGAAAAAGCAAGCACATTTGAATGTTTAGCGGAAAAAACAAATAGGCCTAAATATTATGAAAAAGGGACGGTTAGATCTGAATGCTTTAGTAATCTAGAAGAAAAAATACACGAGTGTAATCATGATATTCCCGAAATTATCGAAATCACTGAGCGGGAAAAGAAGGCAAATACGTCTGAAAAAGAATGTATTATCTGTACAGAGAAAGTCATAATAAGAGACTTCATGAAAGTTGCAGAACAATGTGATCATGAGGACAACATGTGTCAAAACTGTATTTGTGAATATATTACACTTGAACTTTTGGAAAGGGGGAACATCAATGTTTTATGTCCGGAATATGGGTGTCATAGTGTGTTGCAGGAGCCAGATATTAAAAGGTTTGTCAGTGCGGAAGCATTTGAACGGTATGTTGAAAGAATATATATTATAGAAACATGTGAGCAGTGTTGGCATTTGGTTGCTTTGATCAGACTTTGTAATAATTTGCTTATTAATTTACAAGCCTGTTAAAGTGCTGCATAGATTTTCGTAAATATTGCAGATATTGTGCTTATCTAAAAAATCACAACAGGCCTGTAATATTTTTTCCAGATGTAGAGGCAGTTAATTATTTTCACTGAATTTTTAAATTCCAATACTGCAACAACAAATTTCGTTTATTTTTCCTTAAATAATAATACATTTTTGATATTGTTACAGGTATCAAAAGCTCTCAGTAGTTCATGCATTATCTCAAATTCCTACTTTCCATTGGTGCTCAAATCCAAATTGTAATTCAGGGCAGATTCATTTTGAAGGGGGTAAATTAAAACTGTTGTAACATATCTATTTATTGACTTTCTCGATACTTTTATCACAAATTCTTATGATTTCTTTTTTCACTCGAATCTATTCCTTTCTTTTAAAGATAACGCCCCAATAATGAATTGTAACAGTTGCGATCAGAAGACCTGTATCATTCATGATCTTCCAATCCCCACTGGACGCTTTACCTGCACTAGATGCGATGGGATTCGGGTTGAATCACGCGCTACAAGAAGACCTCTATTAAAACCATGGATAAAAAAATTTCAAAAAAGCTTATTGTCACGTAAAGCTAAAAAAACAGAGGATGAACAAAAGAGGCGATCAATACGCGAAGCTAAAGAAATCGAAAAAGAGAAAAACAAGCTATTAAAGGCGGAAAGGCAGTCTGAAGTATTTATGCAGTCTAATACAAAGGAATGCCCGAAATGTAAAAGTAAAATTCAAAAGGATGGAGGATGTGATCACATGACGTGTGGACAGCCTTGTGGATACGAGTTTTGTTGGATGTGAGTAAATTTTGTTTTGTTCAAATTCATTTTATTCAAGTACCTGTGTAGTGGGTAATTCTGTGTATTTTGTGTCAAGAATCTTACTTGGGAAATAATCACATTTTTTTTGCACTACAAATTATCTAAACACGCACACTACAATCTGGGCCTGTTACAAGAGTTTCTGATAATACGAAATATAAATACATATGTTTACTGGAAAAATACTAACATTGTCATTATATGTATTTATATGTATTTAGCTGTCTTGCAGATTTTAATTCTATACGAGCAAATGGAAACAAGGAACACAAGACTAAATGCAAATACTACGCATAGGAAATGTATGATTTGTTAAATATGCACTTATATATATATTGTATGTATTATTATAAATTGATGTAAACTTTGTTATTTATTGAATGAATTATTTGTAGTTATTTTAATTAAATAAAAAATTGGGAAATAACTTTTTATAGAATATATAATACTTCAATACAGATGTTTTTCACTTTTGATTTGCCTTTGGTTTTTTGATCAAATCAAGAATTTGATCCTACCTTTTTATTATTGAATTTTAGATTAATAATATAGATTTTTTAAATCTTTGATAATAATACTGTTGAGCAGTGTTTATCTTTTATTTTTTTTATTCATATTATGAATCCAATGACTTTAGAACAAACCTGATTGTTTATTGATTACTTAGAATATTCATCACATTCGCCGTCACCTCTTCTACTATCTCCATCAATACTTTATTACAAATTTTTTTATTACAAAATTTTATTATTTATTAACATTTTACATTCATATAAATAATTATTACTAATAAAAATAATAATAACAGCAAAAATCAGAAAACATGAAAATTTTGCATGCATATTCTATAGGACCTAGGCTACAAACCATATATACTTATTATGTGTGATTTTGCATTATTGATTCTCTGAAATTTGCTGTAGTGTACCATTTGTTCTAATAAAATCTATTTAAATCTACTAAAACAAATAAACAAATGGATAAATTTATCATTTATCAATAAAAGAAATAAAGTATATAAATATGGACTGAGATTGATGTATCAAAAAAATTTTTGCAACATTAAAAATCATTAAACTATACATTTAAAATAAATATTTTGAATAAGTTCTTTAAAAACAACACTGTTTAAATTGACTACTGCTTGTGTGATCAATTCAATCATTAACACCAAAGGAACAAAAT